GTCATTATGGTGCCTCTTTTTTCGAGGCCAATAATGGCAGAGTGCAGTGCAAGATTAAACATTAGCGTCGATAGTGCATCTCCCTGTCTCATACCATCGCGTATCTCAAAAACGAACATTCTTCGTTGTACCGATACTGTAGGCTCTGGAACCCTCCATTGTCATCATTGCTACCTGTGCTAATTTTCGGGGAATTCCCATTTGTCTTAAATTATACTCAAGCCTGGTCCTCCGTATACTGTCAAAGGTTTTTTTAAAGTCTATGAATGGGAATTCATAGACAGTGTAATTGTGGAATATACAGTGTAAGTCAGTGTTATACTCGTAGTATTTCTCCGTTACTTGACAAAGGAGGAAGATTTGGTCCATTGTAGATCGTCCTTCCTTGAAGCCACACTGGTATTCACCTAGTATGTTCTCAGCATATGGCTTTATCCTCTCGTAGATTACATACTTCAAGATTTATCACTTATTAATCAAATCTATTGGTTTAAATCGATTCTGCAATGTTTTAACTGATAAAATTCATAGTCGCAATTACAAAGTACTTCATTTTATGGGTAAAAAGTTCTTCGAAGGAAAAAATGTGAACTGATTCAAGGTACAATACAGGGTTATACCTTGAAACAACGTGATTGTACCTTAGACCATTTCGTAACTACACCTAATTTTATTTATCTACATTATTATTAACAGTGATAAATAGATAATAAAATGTGACAAGTAGCTACCTACCATTATCAAAAGGAAAGTGAAAAAACTTTGAATGTACTTACATAGATATATTAGACTGAAGTCAAGTGAAAAGATAATTCTTGTTGCCCTTTTGACACTCCAACGGTAGCAGGCGTGGGAAAATATAACAGTATGCTAGTATTACCAACAGAAGAAACATCTTTATCGCTAAGAACAAAGTTTCCAGCTGCTTTTGTGCCAAATATTTTTTTTGTAAAATTGTATCCCTCTTCAATTTCATTCATTATTCTGGCCATAAAATATTTTTTTCGCTTTTTTAATTGCTAGTTGAACCTAAGTATATAATCGTTTTCTTGTGCTTTTTAATTTGAAAGTAACTTTATGGATCGTCATCTGATAAAGCCTGACTCTTCTCTTCTTTTTTATCATTTCCCCTAGATGCCATCACAGCGTTGAGGTGTTGTTGGGATTCTCTATCCACCTTGTAAAAGTACGTCTGTTCCATGCCATATTCTCCACTTCCTCCTCTCTTCCGCATTATCTCCTCCACTTCTTCTTACCATTTTATCCTTGGCCTACCACTCCTTCGTTTTCTATCTATTCCCATTTCCATTACTCTTCTGGCATTTTGACTAGGTGTCCATACTAGCTCAGCTGTTTGTTTCCTGGTATGTGTTCTAAATCGTCTCTTATAGTTTTGTTTCTACTTCGATCCATTCTTGTTTTCCACGCCACCTTTTTTAAAAATTTCATTTCAGTTGCTGTTATTTTTGATTTGTGTTATTTTTAATGTTTCAGCTTCATATGTGAGGCTCGGTGTACATATAGTGTTATAAATTCTTAATTTTGTATTTGTGCTCACATCCTTCTTGCCCACAATTATGTTATTCATTTGGTAATATAGATTACCTGCTTTTTGTATTCTATTTTGCATTTCTCTGTCTATTGTTCCATTCTCACTAATAATGCTGCCCAAGTATTGAAATTTATCTACAATTTCCAGTCTCTCCCCACTTATCATCATATTTATGTTTTTATCCCTTTAGTTATATGCATAATCTTGATTTTCCCTATATTTATTTGCATTTCCCTTTCTTCCATACAGGTTTTCCAGGTGGTAATTTTTCTTTGTAGTTCTGTTTTCATACTTCCTATAATAATGCTGATAGGAAGTATGAAATCAGTCGTCTGGATCGTCTGCATACACTAAATCAAAGGGTTACACTTCTTAATTATTTGATCCATAAAAATCACAAATAGTAGTGAGCTCAGGCTGTCCTCCTGTTTCATACCCTCCTTCATGAAGACTGACGAAGATGAATATTTCCATAACTTTCCTCTTCACTACTTACTTTCTTGTTTTTCTTTAAACCTGTTATGAATTTTACTGCTTCTCTAGTAATTTTTCACATTTTGTTTAGCAACATGTACAGNTCAAGTGAAAAGATAATTCTCGTTGCCTTTTTGACACTCCAACGGTAGCAGGCGTGGGATATAACAGTATGCTAGTATTACCAACAGAAGAAACATCTTTATCGCTAGGAACAAAGTTTCTAGCTGCTTTTGTGCCAAATATTTTTTTTGTAAAATTGTACCCCTCTTCAATTTTATTCATTATTCTGACCATAAAATGTTTTTTTCGTTTTTTTAATTGCTAGTTGAACCTAAGTATATAATCGTTTTCTTGAATAGAGTGGTCGTTTACGTCTTCTTTGATTTTTAATTTGAAAGTAACTTTATGGATCGTCATCTGATAAAGCCTGACTTTTCTTTTCTTTTTTATCATTTCCCCTAGATGCCATCACAGCGTTGAGGTGTTGTTGGAATTCTCTATCCATCTTGTAAAAGTACGTCTGTTCCATGCCATATTCTCCACTTCCTCCTCTCTTGCGCATTATCTCCTCCACTTCTTCTTACCATTTTATCCTTGGCCTACCTCTCCTTCGTTTTCCATCTATTCCCATTTCCATTACTCTTCTGGCATTTTGACTAGGTGTCCATACCAGCTCGGTTGTTTGTTTTCTGGTATGTGTTCTAAATCGTCTCTTATTCCTTTTGTTTCTACTTCGATCCATTCTTGTTTTCCCCGCTACCATCAACCATGTTTCAGCTTCATATGTGAGGCTCGGTGTACATATAGTGTTATAAATTCTTAATTTTGTATTTGTTCTCACATCCTTCTTGCCCACAATTGTGTTATTCATTTGGTAATGTAGATTACCTGCTTTTTGTATTCTATTTTGCATTTCTCTGTCTATTGTTCCATTCTCACTAATAATGCTTTCTTAACTATTTAATCCATAAAAATCACAAATAGTAGTGGGCTCAGGCTGTCCTCCTGTTTCATACCCTCCTTCATGAAGACTGACGAAGCTGAATATTTTCATAACTTTCCTCTTCACTACTTACTTTCTTGTTTTTCTTTAACCCTGTTATGAATTTTACTGCTTCTCTAGTAATTTTTCACATTTTGTTTAGCAACATGTACAGTTTCATTTGACGTTTTGTCAACAGGCTGTAGCACGTCAAAGGCTTGTTGAATATTGGGAATGTTGAGAAACCTGCGAACTCATGTTTTTTATTTCTTTAATCCAAGTATCTACTATAACTTTTTTATTTGCAACCCGAATTCATATGCTAATTTTTGTTATTCTTGTTTCGGGATACCGTAATGTAAATCAACAGCTATTTTGACATAATTTACTAATAGAGAAAATTCGTTTATTTGTTATCTTTGACTGGTAGGTAAAAACGTCGTCACCTATTAATTGATGACTTTTCAAGTGATGAAGTAGTGGTGCCTTAGCAATTTAATTATTTACAGCGGCTTGACCAACAGAGAATTTGTGCACGAGAACATTTTTTATTGCAGCTGATAAATTTCTTTTATTAACCTGCTGTCGGTTATTGCCTAGTTTATTTTGTGGCATATTCTAAAAATATAATGTCACACTTAAACTACATTTAGAATTTTTTTTACTACAGGTAATTATTATGAAAGTCTAAGGTACACGATCGGTAACAATATTGAAAAGTCGTTCCTATTTCATTAGATTATGTTTAGAAGTCTCACCGTTATTTTTAAAATAAAGAGAAATGAACGCAGAACTTACTTGACCAAGAATTTTTAACTCAAACAACACATTCCGCTGCGACGTAAAAATATTTTGTCTGTTATATCTGAAGTCCGTTTTAATCTATTATATCGAGGTTTTACAGTAGTTAGTAAAAATTATTTAAGTCAATCATTTATAAATTAAAAAAATACATTGTATCATCAACAACGTATGGGAACGAGCATCAAAGACATCAGAACAATCTCGGTTCATTTAAACTAATGACTCAATGGGGTTCTTCCTTTATAACACTGTTGTCTTGTATAATAGCCAGCCGAAATTGCTGCGCGTTTATGATTGAGACGCTACGCCCGTTTAAGATAAATTAAATATGCGGCGCGATTATTAGAGATAAATGTATCCGGGAAGTGCTAACCATCGGAAGAAATACTCGTTTAGGACTCGTTATGTTTTAACTAGAAGTTTTATTTAACTAATCATCTTTGTCTAAATCAATTTCATCAAAAACTAGATAGTCATCGTTATATTCTCCCCGCTTTATGTCGTATAGTAAGGAGTATATTAATCAATTATTATTTAAAAGTATCTGACGGTACCTTCTAGTACCGTCCCTTGTATTGAATGACGGGATCAGCTCGGCAGCTCTCGCTGTTAAACCTCGTGATTTATGACATGCTGGGAGATGATAGAGATCGTTTGGTTTCAATTCTCACTCCCCTTTGAGTGATGGACAGGCGAACGTGCAAAACGTGGGAGGTGAAAACCTCTTCTCTATATAACTTTTTCCTTCTTACCTTATTTATTATTATACACTTTTATTATTTTTTTAACAACAATTTCAAAACTACGGCAATAAATTTACCGTTTAACAAAAATGAAATCACCTTAAGATCTTATTGAGTAATGACTCCTGGACTGAGTTAAACGAGGTTCGGCTTACACAGGAGATGGTCGGCGATGGCAATTTGCAGTCGCCACAAAAATTATCTCACCAATTACCTCCGAGGGAGTTGAGGTCTACCAGCTGGTTATCTGCACGTTTCGAGCGAGGTGCCGGGCATCATTAATTAAGGAATGGCGTACATCGACGAGCAATTAACCGTTCGCGAAGTGAACGAAGCGAACGGGGTCCACCAGGTTTTCGATTAATACTCACTAACTAACGTTAGTTGAGTATCTACCTCCAATTTGCCATGCCAATTGAAAATCTCGTGTATTAGTACTTACCCGTTGATAGACGTTTGCGACATGAACAGGCTGAGGAACGCCTTTGCTATCGTATGCCAGATTTGAACGAAAAGCGAATCGGATTTTTCTTCAGACTGACTAATAAATTGATTTGTATCTTCATCTGGTTCTAGTTGTACAAATTTCGATGATATGTTAGATGGCATATTAGCCAAATTACATTGGTACCACTGAAATAAAAAGAAATATATCAAAACTATTTTCTATAAAACTTTATGTACGAAGTATGAGCGATGCGAGGTGGTAATTAACTCACCCACGCAACGATTTAAATGTTATTTATTATTTCCAACGAGTCAAGATAATTAAATCCAAAAATAAACGTTCGTCATTGACTTTAAAATAATCTTTCGTATGGATGACAGGATTAAAAAGGTATTCGGGGTCTAATTTAAATACAACACATTAAAACACTCCTACAAACTTTTTAACTACTTCTAAAAACGATTTTAAGATAATTTCGAACACTCTCTTTCGCTTTGTATGTACGGCACGTAGCATCGCTATAATAGCGCAGAAATAATTAATAACGTTTATGGCTGTCATGTGAGGGTTCGGCCGAAGTGCTTCTTCTTGGGGCTTCATCTCTTCCGAGACGTGGCAACTTTTCAATTTGCGCCTTGCGAATATGTTACCCCGTTTTCTTCTTCTTCTTCTTCTACTACTATAGCGTGGGGAATAATAATTAATGATACAATCCCCGCGGCTGTCAGTGCGGAATAATCACTTCAGGTGCCCGTCAAAAACAAAACGCGCGCCTCTTATGAATATTTATAAATTGTATGCATAAGATATCGCGCCCGTGGTGAGATGTATTATTATTCGGACGTCGGCCGCAAAAAAGATTTACCAAAAATAAAAGGTCCGATTAATATGACGTATTGTTTTGGCGTGAATCCCGATCAACTTCTTCGCGTCTACCTGAACCGTTCAACCCCCAGGAGCGTTTTAAATACTTAAAATAATTAAAACGTTAAGAAGTTTAAAAACCCCGCATCTTTATTTTTGATTTAAAAATATTTTCGTTATAACAACACCCCTTGTTTATTTAAGTAAAACGTGCGTATGTAAATGACACATCGACGCGGTAGGTTCGTTCGCAATCATGTTTATTCATTTCTTATTTAAATTAACCTGCACGGACGGTTAGCGCTCACCGGAATGTAAAATTTCTTTTAAACACACAGGTGTTCCCTTCCATTACTCCGCCAACAAGATTAAAATCTGTAATCCACTTGTGAACTTGACGGATGTGCTCAGGATGATATAGAAATTGAACGAAATCATTTATCTAAGTATCTTAACATTATTCAAATGCTAAAAATTAATAAATTTTCAATATTAAGTTCGTTAATTAAATAGATAGTATTTTATTTGCTCCATCAATACAACATTAAATTTCAGTGACCTGATTAGCAGTTTAATTCCTTGCCTTACCCATTCAAATTATTGGATTGAATTTATTAATTCGGATTACTTTAACACTAAGAGCTAGGTACTTAATGGATGTAGTGATCGACATTTTTGGATCCAACAACTGGATATAATTTAAGGGAAATACATTAGATCTGATGATATGATGTGTTCTTTTGCTGACCTTATCGCAGCTCGTTCAGCTCAATGATGTGCGTTTCTCTATGTTTCGATTTCCAAAATTTGCAATATAGTTCACAATTCCTCATTGAATATGTATGTATCGATACATGTAACAATTTCGACAATTTTAAGACCGCAGTGCACATCTTGTGATATCATTTTAGAGATGATGTGATTTATAGTTTCATTGTTGTTGTATGACAATCCGCATACACAACGATTCAACAAATTATTATTACGAAGATTTTTGTAACTTTGTAACTGGTTACAATCAGAACCACATTGGAAAGTGCTGTATAATTGTGTGTGTAATCATTCAGTTGGTTATCTACTTTTACCATTTTCCCTGAAAACCAAGAACCTGAGGCCTGAAAACATTTTTTGTAGTGTGACTGTTCGTCTGTAGAGCTTGATCTCTTGTTCCACTGTTTTATATTTTGGTTACTTTCCCTTCTTTCTTACATCTTTACTGAAATCTTCAAACTGATCTTTCAATTGCCAGCTCTTTCAACGTTCAATTTTTTTAATATTTTTGCAATAACGTCGATTAATTTCGTACAACATTTTGTAATTGATTTGATTTGAACAGCATTTTGATTCCAATCTACTGAATTCCTACCATAGTCAATACCTCTTAATCATGCTTTTCCTGACAGTGTATAATCTAATATGTACTTAAATATTTGTTTTCTTTTCAAGAGAAGAAGGAAGCTTAACTTGCTTTCTTGCTAACTTTAGATTTAATTAGGATAAGGAGAACACATTCCCTGTTATGATCGATTATTTAGAAAATATCGTTAAGTGAATATGGGATGATTCTGTGATGTGTGTCGAGTGACGTCGAGAGATGATTATAGAATAGGAAGAGCGTATGATTTCAAAGACGTGGACTAGAATGGAAACGTTTGAGAGCAAATGGGTTATATGCAAAGGCTAGAGGAAGTAAGGAAGTGAAAATGTGGAAGGGGTAGGTATATACCATACCAACTGGTGAACGGAGGGGGTGAGTTAGTTAGTGAATTAGTCGAAACATCCACAACTCCACCTGATAAAGCAGAGGTCACTTGCTCCCGATTCGCCACAATACAATGACCAGTTTTAGGTTGATACAATATCAATCAGTGATATATACTCATTGGTATATCAATGATCAGCAGGTATGTGGAGACGGTGACGGCGAAAAATAAAGAATTATGGTTGGAGAGAAGAGAAAGAGGCAGTCGAAAAAAATAGAGGACAAATGAGAGAAAGGTTTTTAGGACAAACATGGGTACAAGATAGTAATTACAAGTGGAAAAGAGAGCCAGTAGTAAGATTGGATGAAAGAGTGACGGAGAAACGATTATGATAGTCCTTCTGAATAATCGTGGAGAGTATCCCACTAGGGATTATGTTATAAGATATGTTCCCGCTCTGTATTTTCTCCTTTTAAGACGGAATATACAAAGTTATGGAAGGTTTTGGGCAAGATAATTGCCTAAAGCTGGTTAACAGGGCGACAGCGGAGAAGTTTGTCATTATGGTTAGGATATGGGAGTGTTATATGAATAGAGGGGAATGACTGAGGAGTGTCTGAAGAAGAGCGTGTTTCTAGAGACGTGGAAAACTGCTGTGGTTGTTATAGTGTTAGACAGAGTGATTGCGGATAGGTTGTTGAATTTGCAGCAGAAATGTACCAGGCCAAGGGGATAATTCCAGGGTGATTAAAAGATTAAGTGCTGTGTAGAAGCTCTGCTTGTTGTTGACAACGGAGGTTCAAGCTATCCAGGTAATGTTGGGAACTGCGCTAGAGTATTTGTAGTATTTGAATTGCGTCTGGGAGGGAGAGAGAGGACTGTGGAGGTGGAAGAGTTGATCGTGATGTGTAGATCAGTAGAGTGTTTCAAAAAGAGTTGAGTTAAATAATAAGGGAATAAGAAGTTATGAAGAAAGCGGACAAGGTAGTAAAAAGTGGTACCAAGAAAATATATGTTTTTAGTAAGTTGTGTTATGTAGGAGGTAGATACATGGAGAAGTAACCATGGTCATAATCTGCAATAGAGTTCACCTCTGAACTGAGTATGAACCTTTCAATGTGTGCCTGACGAAATTTGAATAGACCGACAAAGATTTAATACTTTTTAAAGTTCTTTTCTTTCTATGAAACTACACTAAAAGATATATTTAATGTGATGAACCCATGAAAGGTTGTGTTTGTGGGTGGATATTGAAAATAATTGTTTTCATTACAAATAGGGTAAAATTTATTATTTTCTTATAATCCAACGGCACTATCGAGAAATATTTTTTTAGACAACTACCATTAACAATTAAAATTTTCAATACGGGCTAATAGATTTAGCGAAACTTATACGCCATTCAACACACGATGGCATTGAACGAAACATTAACACTGATGTGAAAATAGATAGTTTCATGATAGGAGGAATTGCTGAAGAAAAAATAGCTGCATGATGTCACTAGTTATTGCCATTTGAATACAGAAAGTGGTGGATATTCTTATCAAATAATCTTACCGTAAAGCTTGCGAATTTTCAGAATAAAGAAGCAAAATTGCTAAATATGACGAATGCACATAGAGCACGACTGTTTCAAAGGAGTCTTATGATTTCGTTATAATTGTTAAAACATTTCCGTACATCGCAGCAACAATCTCGAATAAAGGTCATATATCTATTAACAATGTTGCAGATATTGCATATGTCTATAAGCAACATAGCCTATTGCATGGAAAGTTTAATGGATTTGTAGCGTTGAAATGTCAGCGTCCTGGAAATAACAAGAGCCGAATTCATTGTAGATACAGTCGATGATGTTTACGGGACGCTGTTATTGCAGATGAGGATCAGGTTTTTGCGAACGTTACATAATTATCTCTTTACATTTTTAAGGTTACAACGCTTTAAACTCGTTTTTCTCACAACATTATTTTTTTTAACAATGAGCAGTTTAACTGCATCTCCAGTTATTTACACAAAAGGTTTAATTATAAATCAACCACGTTTAACAACGTAAAGAAAAATAATGCCTTTTTCGATAAAACACAATTTTAAAAGTGTAATCATTTCTACAATTTTTTTCACAGCCCCTACAATACAATTTGATACCATATATCACAAACTGAAAAAAATTATTTCGAATCAATCATTGGAACTGATGAACGCCCATTTTTGTGTCTACGCGAAAATGACAATTCCTCAATACAGATGTGGCAGCAATTCTCTTTTTATATTTTGCTGTGTAAACAAGTATATTTTAAGGATGTCGATTTCGTACATTTTCAAAGATATTACGTATTTGAATTATATTTTTCACAATAAAATTTCATCAAAATATTATCAGAATAAATATTCCATTAATTTTATGTTGAACCACGAACATTAAAGCTCATTGTATTTATTCATGTTATCACATGTTAGAATAATCTCTTTTTCATAATCTTCCCTAACAAATGTGTTAGTGTTCATGCTTGCAACATCTACTAAATATTGTTTGCTTGTGGGATGAAGGAGATGTTTAGTATTCGAGCATTTTTGAAACATAATCACTTCAATAGAACTGAACGTTGTCTACA